CCCCCCCCCCCCAAAAAAAAATACTGTTACCTGCCTGAGTCCACTGAAGCCCAAAATACTATTTTGAGTCTTACTTAGTACATGCACCACAGAGCTGTACGTTTTGAAATCGGCAATACTGGCATTTAAACACGCCACTGAAGGACATTTACAGAACAGTTTCACAGCTGGCTGTCCCCAGGTACAGCCCGTTTACAAGGATTAAGGGATTAAATACGAAAATATCGCCCCCAGGTACCATGTCGGGCAGTAACACCACGGCAATACCCGTGAACCTGTTAACGGTCGTCTTTAAGATGGTGCCTTACCTGCCACCAGTGTGCTGCAGGCAAGGGTTGGTAACGTTGTTAATTTTTCTTCCTCTAGGGCTTAAGGACGGGAGCTACGAGCAGTACAGGTACAGTTTTTATTGTTCTGCAGTGCTACCTTCACCTTAAGGGAATTCGTGTGGGACTGGGAACCACATGGACAGACGCGGCCTGGCCTGGCATTTGCCAGATCTTTCCCCTGTTACTCTGAAACACGGGAGCTGTTGCTATTTCAGCGTCACAGCACGTTCTAACCTTTGCAGTCGAAACTCGGGCTAAACTCTGCTCCTTCCTCATCTTTCAGACTGTAGCGCTGGGGGGTTTCTTGGTGATGGTTAACCTTTTTCTCCTTTTGCTGCTTGAAAATTAGGCAGTTTCAGCGTCGAAAGTGGCCAGATGTGAAGAGACCATCATCTGCCAAGTCACTGTGAGTTCGGAGCAGTTCCCAAAAAGCACTAAGCTTTTCCTTACCTTTCTCGCCTTCCTTCTCTTTTTGCATGCAGCCCCTTTTCTAACAAACATCATCATCTATTCCCGCGGAGCGCTGAAGTGGGAATTTCTCTAAGTTATGCAAGAAATATGATACTGTCGCCATTGCAGGGAACTCCTGCTGTACAAAACCCTGTGGTACTTGTTTTTTGGGAATCTAGGGGGGTTACGGTCAAGGCAGTTTCAAACGAGCAAAGGTGGATGCTCAGTTGAAGGAACCAACTGTGGCAACTGCCATTAAAAAGTACAGACCAGTATATTGGTTTTGTCTACATTTAAACTTGTAGCAGCTACTAGTGGTCTCTCGCACCACCCAGGAAGAACAAAACTGACTGTAATTCCTCTGAGTAGAGAGAGTGTCATGTGTTTTCCTGCTCTTTATCACAGCCTCATGTGAGCAAAAAAGGCAAGTTAGAACAGAAAGCAGACTGACAAGACGGAGCTGTACGTTTGTTTTATTCTGACATTACACCAAGGGTGCTGTGTGCTTACTTCACTGCCCTTTGAACCTTGATTATATCCAGTTCTCAGCTTGCCAGAGCCTAAAGGCGAGACACACATTTAAAGACATGAAAAATAGTTACCTTTGCCGTGCCAGTTAGTCTCTGCACCTCCTGCTAAAAGCAAAGCCGAGACTTGAGCTCGTTAGCAGTCGTAAGGTGCTCGCAGATCCTGCAGTGGGAGAGGATGTACAGGTGCCTGCATGGGCACAGGCGAGTGTTCTCACCTCGCCCAGGAGGATTTGCTCATTTTAAAGGTAACATTTTTAAAATATTTCTCACTGAAGAGATCCAAGATTGGCTTTAGAACCAAACGGAAGCTAGAATTAAGGAGACAAGTTTTGTACAGGTTGAAGTTTCAACTGTAGTTGCTTGGTGCTGTGATGTACCTGCTGTATTCTTACAGGTGGTCCACAGTGTTTCAATTGCTTTTTCCTGCATGGAACCATTAAAAACTTATTTCTAACTAACTACTTCCTACTGGAACGTTACACACTAAATCGTGTTTGTTTTATTTTAAAGAGGACAACTGTGGGAAGGCTGGGAGGGGTAACCTCCCCCAACCGCTGCACCTCCCCGAGGACACAGACTGGCCAGAACTTGAATCCATGTACAGATAAATGAGAACGTGTCTGACGTCAGAAAGAATTACAGTGTTAGCCTGGAGGACTGGATAAACTTTGAGGCTGAAATAGATGATAGAGTGTTTGCACTGGTGAGTGAATGAAATAGATGCAGGGAAATTGTGGGAAATGCTGTCAGAAATACAGGTCTCTGAAATCCACTGTTGTTCCTGCTTTTTGCTTTGGATTATACCTCGCCTGCTTCACAAGGCATTTTACTTCAAGACGACACCACTAACGCTGATCCAGGAGTTGACAGAAGAGGAAATGGAGCCACGTCCCACAGAGGATGCCATCCCGGGGGCAGCGTGTACGCAAAGACAGTGGAAGTGAAAACATTTTTCAGTTCAGCTGTATCTTCAGTTGTCGTGAGGCAAACGTGGAAGCCAAGTGTAACTAAAGCGAGGTTTAGCAAACGGACGCTTTTGCTTCTGACTGCGCTAAAGGGAATGGGGGAATCGAGTTCCAGGAACTGACGTGAGCAGCAGTGAATCTTCTCCACCCCGTGATATTTCTCCAATTTCCTCTGAGGACACGTTTTAGTTCCACGTCTACTTGTCCATCTGTTGACACCTCTAGGAAGATTAGAGAAAATCTTGACTAACAGGATGCCAGATTTTTGGAGGGGTTGTGTAAATATTGATCAATATACCGTTTGAAAATAATTCCTCCAGGTTGTGAAGAATTTTGTTAATAAAAAGAGTGGAATGCCCACATGCCGTTTCTCAAAATGTTACTTACTGTTGCATAGTACGTTTCAGAATTGATCCATTTTTAAAAATACTGAAAAATTTCAGTAAATGTACATGTTAAATTTTAATGAAATCAGATTTGTATGAAGTTTTTTTATGTGGTAATATTACATTGTATGTTCAAAACCAAAACAATTCCTTTGAGAAAGCAGCATTTGCTTAGTAGTGTAACTTTTACATTTATTTTTAAAAAAGGCAGCTCCAAGAATTTCAATACTTGCCCAATAACCTAGTTGTAGTTTAGTCTACAGAAAAAGCAGATGTTCTGAATGACAGTTCCTGCGTAAAGGCTTTTAAAAGGAAACTCCACCGTTCTGCCAAGGAGGCCCAGTGTACAGAGTCCCTGCGGGCCCCTTCATACGGATGGTATTAAACACGCTGTCGTGCAGGCCCTCGCAGTGGTATTTATTGCATTGACCGCGGTTTTCCTGTTCATCTGCCACCTGATGTAGCGGCACCCGCGACCAACTGGGGCCTTCTCTCGTAACAAGAGGGACCTTTCTTCAAAACACAGACTTCCCTCGTGCTTCTGGAAACACGGTGTAAAATACGTCACGGAAAGGAGTGTGATGCCCTTCCCGAGTTTTGCACATTGGGAAATTTTAGTGGAATCACTTCACGAGCGATACAGATCTCTGGTACCACACCCCCATACTCAAAAAATACACTTGAACTGAGGAACTGAGAAAGAAGAAACACTGCTCAAAAAAAGGGCAGTGGGGTCTGTCTGTGTGTGCTGCGTAGCAAAACTAGGCTGGAGCCTGTATTTCTATCACGAGTCAAAGACGCTTCCCAAAATTCTCTTGCAATTTCTTTTTCAATTATGGAAGTAATATATGATTCTCTGTCTCAGCCTAGCCCTGGGTTTTGTTTATAACCTGTTACAGTTCTTGTGGCTTATCAGAACCATCTGCTGGGTGATGAGATCCTGGATCAATACAATTAAGTAAAAAACACTGACTTTAAACTCACCAACAGAAGCACATTTTTGCTGCTTTCCAGAGAAAGGTGTCAGCTGTCTGCCATTCCCAGGGGGTGTGCAGAAGGAACAGTAGGTTAGATTAAAAAAATATTTGCACTTACCTGTAATTTGTGTTCAGCCTCTGTCTTTGACAAGGCGAGGGCGTGCCTGTAAGCGCCCTGGGCCTGGCAGACACCGCTCAGACGCTGCAGAACAAGTGACCGGGGCCCTTCGCACAAACCCTGCCTGGCCGGTGCCACAAGCAGCAGCTGGGCTGACGCAAGGAGGCTGTTGCCAGGCTGTGGGGAAGGCTCCACCTCTTCTCCTTGGGCTCTGCTACAGCCTGCTCTGCCCCTTGGACAAGCCGTGGGTTGCACTCGGGGTCGGTGCAACTTCAGTTGCTCAATGGGTCCCGTAGGGGGAGGGTCCACACTGCTGCTCCCTTGGCTTTTACGGCCAACTAGGAAAAAACATGGATCCTTTGTGCAGCGCGCTGTCCTAGGGAACGGCACCGGCTTTCTCTGGCCTTTCCAGGACACAGTTGTCAGCCTTGACATATTAGAGAGCTAATACACCGTGTCACCAGGCTCTGATTTTAAATAGAAACCTTTATTTACATCATTATTAACATCCAAACACAAAAATCAGAAGAGCAGTAATACCTTACAACCAACTCTTTTATAAATCAGTCCCCATGATTTTTGTTTTGCAAAATAAAGATACAGATATTTCAAGCAATACTTATAATGTAAACTAAACTTAAATGCAATTCTCAATACTGTATGCCTTCTCCTGAGAATTTTTTAAAATATTGCTCTCAGAATTACATGGTTTCATACTGGCTGTATCAATCTGTCATCTGGTAGTCTGCACATCAGTTCTAAAATAAAACGTGTGCTAATTGGTACAACATTCAAATAGTTTTGTCTTATGACTGAAAAATGGTCCTAATTTTCTAACTTTAAAAGCAGTATTTTAGGCCAAGGTTGGAAAAGAATACTACGTATGAATTTTATAAAAACATGGTTTCCGTGATCAAAAGAGCAAGAGACACGTAGCAACATGACGCTCATCATGCAGCAGTGACCAGGGGAGGCTGTAGTAGCTCATTGTTCTCTGACTGTTGAAAAAATGTTACACAGGTGGTTGTTTTAAAAACTTTCACAAAAATCTGCTGCTGTAGAACCAAAACAGCATTGGGGGAGATACGGAACATCAGCAGATTTCAAGGTCAGTTTTATGCACTGCAGAAGGTGAGGTTTTCAAACTAGATGCAGTATGTAGGATCAGTGCTGCGACAGACATCATCACTGCATTTTTAAAATGCGCCCTCCCTTCCTTAATCAAGTTGAAACTAAAAATCTTTGGATTCAGCAAAAAAGTTGGTACTAGAAAGCTCCAACATTCTAAACGCAGATGAGAAAATGATGATCCTTGATAACATCAGTTAGATGTATAAATAGAATCACTCAAAAGGGCACGATGTATGGAGTAGGGTGTAGTCTAAGAGCTCACCTAATGAAAGCAGTCGGGGTTTGTAGTTTCCATCAATATAATGAACAACTACAAAATATAAAGATTGTTCTACTCTGATCCGATATAAAAAGCACGGGACTGTTGCCTTTCAACTTCAGTAGGCAGCACGTAACAAATAGATACAGTCTAAGTAATAAAAAAGAAGATAAAAGCTCCTTAGGCTTCTAAAAGTTTTGCATTAAAAACACACATGAATGGGACTGAAGGTTTCAAATAAATACTATCACCTAATTACACACGCGGTACTAACTGCAGGGACAGGGTTGCATAAAGTAGATCAACTGAATCTACATTCCCTTTGGAACACAACTGGCTTTATGCTAAGAATTTACTTTTTTGGAATATTTCTATTTAAAGTTATTTCTATGAAAATGGAAGCTCACGGGATATTCTGAGCGCTAACACCACCTCTTCCTTACAGTACCAAGAAGCAGCAATTAAGAACACAGATTTTTTATTTTTTTTTGTTTACTCACTTGGGAGAAGTCAGTTTTCCGTTACACAGTGCACAGCAGAACAAAAGCACCACACATCTTAAATGGTTCTGGGTCGTCCCTTATGGAAGTTTAGAGGTTTGACTCGTTGTAACTGCCTGAAACTGGAAAACCTGCAAAGGGATCCTCGTTTCAAGGAACCAAAAGGGGGCTGGGGGGGGGACACACGGGGCGCAAACCTATCAGCAAATAATACAAATAAATTTGTAACCAGACGAACACTGATATGAGAGAAACCTGCTTAGAAAATACATTCATTACTGGCAGAACAATCCAATGAGGTGCAGACATTTGGTTAAAGTGTGGCTTAATATCCTGACAAGATTTCTGGATGTCATGTAACAACAAATATTTTGCAACAGACAAACTCTTTTGAAGAACACTTAAGAGTTCATTAATACCGACTTAAAAAGACACAATCCAGATTCATCAACTGAAAAGGCAACGTATTCTAGAGAGAGATGACCATCACGACAAGTCAGAACATCTTACGCTGCAGAGCCTTTTTGTCAAATTGCCTTATGTAAAAAGAAATGTAACAAAGTGCTCACATGTGGAGAAAGCATTTAACGACTGGTCTTTTATAAAAAGCTATGTGTTAAAGATGTAAAAATAAATGAAGTGTTGAAGACCAAAGAAGACAAAGATGTGGGCCAAAGACACCCAGCTTCAAAGTCATTAAATTTAATTAAAAAAAAAAAGTTCTATTTGGACCTCAACTACACTGAGTTTACAGAAATCAATTTTGTTAAATATTTAGCTTCACAAACTCTGCAAAAATGAGTTAGTGACCTACAAAAGTCATATATATAATACATTATCTTAAAGATCATATTTACAAAATTTATTCACAAAAAGACTGCAAAATTCTGATTCAGACTGCAGTGCCTTGCCTTGAGTTTTCTGAAGTTATTTTCAAATAGATGAAAGATTATTGCTCTAATTTCCATACACAGAAAACATTACATTATGCAGTCTTTTCAAATAATTCGTAAGCGATTGTGTTTGAGAAGGAACATGAGCACACCCTACCTTCATATTAAGTCCTTATCAAAGATATTGCATTAATCCATTATATAGTCTTTTATAAAGTGCACTCAGCTGCACATCAATATGTAAATACTAGTCACAATTGTGTTTAAATAATTTAATTTATTATCCTCTCTTTTTACCCCTTGGCTTCAATGGACAGGATTTTGGACTAGTATGTGCCAATTCATTTTGCACTGCTACTTTGCTTGGGAAACCCTGACTTTTGGGGACAAGAGATTAAAAGCAGCATTTATATTTAGGAATTAATATAAAAGAGTCAAGGCTAGGAACTACATTCTCTGTCAGATATTGTTACTAGAGAAATCGGAAAATTCTTACCACCGTG